ATCAATGAGGAAGAACTCCGCGTCAACCTTAACTTGGTGGAGAAGGAAAGAGAGATGACCATGGTCCGGAACGCGGAGTACATGCATCACATGACGAGAAACTACAACTCGATGGGTGAAGCCTCACTCCTTCCTACCAGGAGACCTAGTTCTCAAGAAAGTATTCCTCGCCACGAAGGATTCACGAGAAGGGAAGTTTGAACCAAATTGGGAAGGGCCTTACATCGTGACAGAGATAGTGAGTCCAGACACCTACAGAATCCAGAATTCTGAGGGAAAAATCTTACCTCATTTATGAAATGACGAGCATCTCAAGGGGTACTATCAATAACACTTGAAGAGGGCAGGAGTAATAAAGATGAAAGACTTGATTTTTTTATTTTCTTTTCCCTTTTAGTCGAAAGACTTGTACATTTTTTGGGATTATGGCTCACCGTTGCTTGTTTATGATTAACCATGAAATAAAATTTTGAGTTTACTCCAAAGGTCCCTCGCATTCTATTTCAAATAGACATTAGTGGCAAAAAACTATTTTTTACAAACACAAGGCAACACACTACCTATCTACCAACCCAAAAAGAAAAAAAAATATCAAGAGTCCTCAGCACTCTGACTGCTCTCACTACCTTCGACCTCGTCCTCTGCATTATTAGAGTCATCATCATCATCACTCGGTGGCACCTCATATGGGAGAAAACCCGAAAAGTCAATGTGAGGGAAAGCAGTAGAAATCTTTCTCTGAAACTCTTTATAGCCATCAATAAAAGTATCTGCAAAGCCATTCTCTGAATCAGCCTCGGCCTTGGCAGCCCTCTCAAGAGCCAATGGCAGATCTGCCTCAGCACAAGAAAATTTCTCGTAAGCAGCCTTCAACTCTGCTTCAACTCTCAAGTAGCAGTCTCACCATCAGGTTCCAGCTTAGCAACCCTCTCGTGGGTTGTCACAAGCTCTATTTCAGCTCTCGTGCAAGCAACCTTACTGAGCACGGTCCTCTCACAGGTCACCACAAACTCAATCTAGAAAGCCTCGCCATCAACCTCGAGCTTAGCAATCCTCTTATGAGCTGCCAGTAACTCCCCTTTCACAGCTTCATGAGTAAGTCTCTCTTCCCTAATAGTTGAGCTTAGATTTTTAAACTGAATGGCCCTTGAAAAAAGGCATATAGACACGCCCAAAAGAAAGCACAAAGGCGAGGAAGATAACAAATCCTCACTTGTGCCAAGCCTTTCAAGACAGTGTCAATGATGCCCTCGGTGCTTCGAGCACCAACCTGCCCAATCTCTATAGGGAACACGAATCTCCCAAGTCGTTCCCTAATAATCCGCACATCATCTAGCATGGAGACAGTCTAGGAGCCTGCCCCTGTAGAAGTCCTTGCATAAGGGTTTGATGAATGGGGAGGGCAAAAGGTGTAGTCGCCTTAGGAGTCTTTGAAGGAGCGGTCACCACAAGAACCTCTGAAGGAGTCACTGATTGGGGAGGTGCCACTAGAGGGGTCATCTGAGAAGAGCTTGCTAGAGCATCACTCACCCTAGCCATCTTGGGTGGAAGAGTGTTCCTAGTAGAATAACGGGACTCCACCATTGTCCTATCCACTGCAGAAGGGTAAAGTGGTACCCTGAAGAAAAACCGAGTAAAGAAAGGAAAATTTAAGGTAATCAACATACATTTTTCTCTTCATAGAGGAGCCGCCAGGCCTAGAAGAAGATGCACCAACTTTAGCACCTCCAGAAGGGGGTCCCTAGCCTCACCCTCCTTAAGCATGAGGGTTCCAAAAATCCTTAACAAGATAAGCCTTCACAACATGCAATTTTCATTCCTGATCTTTTGAAAGTGCCGGAGAGCTTGGAAAAAATGTGATAAGGACACATTTGCCAGAAAAGTAAAGAAAAATGAAAGCAGTTGTACCAATTCTCTTGGGAGTGTCCCATCTTGCCGAAACCAAAGCCCTATCGACCTTTAAAGCCCACTCTCCACCAACAAAGAGGAAGTGNTCCTTAACAAGATAAGCCTTCACAACATGCAATTTTCATTCCTGATCTTTTGAAAGCGCCGGAGAGCTTGGAAAAAATGTGATAAGGACACATTTGCCAAAAAAGTAAAGAAAAATGAAAGTAGTTGTACCAATTCTCTTGGGAGTGTCCCATCTCGCCGAAACCAAAGCCCTATCGACCTTTAAAGCCCACTCTCCACCAACAAAGAGGAAGCGAGCTTTCCAACTATGATAATTAGAGCAGAGCCCAACAATCAGCTTTCTTCCCCTCGGAGTGAAGTAATACGAGCCACGATTGGAAGTAGGAGTCTCACTCAAAGTATAGGCCACACAAAACTCCTCAGGAGAAACATCCTCATGATGCACTCTCCTTCATAGTGCCAGAAATCCTAGAAGAACCCTCCAACCATTGGGTTCCAAGCGCCCTGGCGCAAGTAAGAAACAATGGAGGATGCGACAGACAGAGGAAGGCATGAGAAACCTTAGCCTTGCCTCAAGCACCTCCTCATAAATAGCAGTATCACCAGAAGAATCATCACAAGCAGACTCATCTATTTCTGCTCGGCAGCACAACACTGTTAGAAGAATGTTAGAAGTGGAAACAATCCGGAGAATGTTAGCATCAATATTGAGAGGACTAGAAATAGTACTTACATTGGACCCGTCGTCATCAAGAGCTACCTTTCCTCGATGTTTTTTAGTGTGAGGATAAAGAGAGGCATTGTTTGGGCCACTACTAGGAGAACCTTGAAGGACATGACTACATGAAGTTTCGCCTGAACGAGTCATACCATCCACCACTTGCCTGCAGTCGTTGCCGCCTAAAACATTAGCATTTCCCAGCATACCCTCCACCATAGCTCTGTGCCCAAGCTCCATAACACTGTGTCCAAGCTCCAAAGTTTCGTGCCCGGCATCCACTGCCGTCATGCCTACCTCACTGAGTGTGGACACCTCCACAGTGCACAACGCCACATGTTTGTGTCTGGCCCCATCGACGCCACCTGCGCGCCCGCCTGGCCATGCCCAGCGCCCAGCGACGCTACTAGCGCATTCCCATGGCCATGTCCAACCCTCGATGATGCCAGCATTATAGGCTCCACCGTCTTCTCCCAGCACCCAACGTGCCCCTTTTTTCGTGATCAGCGCTAGCTCATGGTGCCTCACCTTCGGTGCCCACTGCTTGGGTAGTCTTTCCTTCGGTGCCCGCTGACTGGGTCGCCTCGCCTTCGACACCATCCTAATTTGTCTCGCCTCTGAGGCCTACTTGGGTCATCTTTTCACCAACACCCATATCACTTATTGCCTCACTGACGTTCACTTAAGCTCTTGCATCAACAACTCCATCATTGCCTGACTCCCCACCGACATTGATGGCCTCTAGCATCTCCTCTCTTTCACTCGACATCGATCTCTAGGCACTTAACTTAGTAGCAACACCACTAGCCTTACTTTTCTTCTTGAGCATCTCACAAGAAACCTTCTCTCAAGATAAATGGGATGGAAAGAAAGGGAAAAGTCTCAATTTCTAGCCTGGGGTTTTTAATTCCTAGTAAGTGATAGAATAGGGAAAAGTTTTCATAGCAAAGGATATCCTAACGAGATGAACTATATCAAGAACGAAAAGAAGTTATTAGTCAAGAGAAGTGTTCGTGAGTTAGAGTCCAAGTTCAAATGCTCTCTTCTCCAAGTCTCATTGGACTCAGGGCATTTGGGGGGGCAAATAATGGGCTCAACCCAAAGCCTAACACAACTAGGCAAAACTCGATGGACCCACCCCATAAAGAGATTCATGCCTAGTCAAGATCATCAAGGCTCCAAGAGCCATGTCATCAAGGAGTAGGAAGCGCCATCCAAGAGCCTCATGCACACCACCTTGGAGTAAAGACCACGCTATCCTAAGACCTAGTCTTGAGGAGAGCCCTGCAACAATCTCACCCGCTGAGAAAATCATGTCACCTCCATCAAATTAGTCTTTTAGTTACTGATAAGTCGCTTCAATCTGTTAGGAGACACCTATAAAATGCAAATCCCACCTACACATGGGTTCGTTGAGCACATTTGACATCACTCTCATCTGTCTCATAGCGTGTACCTCACTTGAGCTCTCATTACTCTCATCTGATATCCTTACACTCATGCAGTAATAAAACACCTTGGTCATCTTAACTCTTCAAAGTGGAATAGGTCACTTTTACTGAATCACTTAAATTGTGTCTTGCTTGAGTTTCTCCCCCTACTTTATTATCTGCATTAATTACTTGACAAGTGATGTGTAAAATCAATTTGTGCACCATCATATATAATGAGTTTCACTTAAGTAAATGATATGGGATCTTTTTTTAAAAAAAATAGAATACATATTGGAGGTATCTCACTTGTCTCAACAACCGAGTATAAATGTAACACAATTCTTGGATAGAACACGATCAAATCAATAAATATTATTTTTGAATTAAATTGACCATCCTTGTGCCGAAAAGGAAATGATAAATTAGGTTTGAAAAATATTACATGAACTTAAAATGCTGACTTGATCGATCACTATAATTAAATAGGTAGTAGATCATAATAAATACTGAATTCTACAGTTAAATCAAGGATAACGTTTGATCAAATCAATAAATCAAGTTAATATTTTTATTTTATTCTCTCAACTATTATATTTTTTTATAATATACCATAAATTATGTGATTAGTTTTACGTTGTTCTACTTATTAATGTCCACTACATATTTAATAAAAAAGTATTTTATTTTATCTCATGAACTATATAATTTTTTTTAATTTGTTATAACACCTCAACAAAATCAGTTAAAAAAGATAATAGAGTGATTAGGGCAATGTGAAATAATTAAAGTAGTTAAGGGGATCATATGAAAATTTTAATAATTTAAGGGGCAAATTGAAATTAAGTCCATATTTATGGGGTCAAAGTGTAGTTTACCCAAAAAAAAGACAGAAAAGCAGAACGGTGGGCGATCAGAGGAGTGAGTCCAGGCCAGGTCTGTAATTGAAGCAAGAAGACTTGGACTTAGAGAGACAGACCGCCATGGAAGATCACCAGAAGCTATCATCATCTATCGTACTTGAAGAATGGAATGGCACGTCGTCGACGAAGCTCATAAAGACTGCTACTATAACTGCCTCTTCCAATTCTTCTCTCTCCATTCAACGATCCGGCAGCAAATTCAATCAGGTGTCGAGGCGGATACTCGAAGCATTTGTACCCGAGGTACTCTCTGTCTTTCTCTCTCTCTCTCATACATACATACTCGAATATCTAGAGTGCGTGCTCGCATTTATAGGCGCACACAGAGCCACACTGAGCTTGAAGACATTTTCTTCGTTCATTTGCCTGTTAATTGCTTCAACTTTATGAATATTTGAAGTATTAAAGCTAAAAACTCTGGGCATTCTTAATCTCGTAGTGGTTAAACTTATCGAATAATTCTCGCGTAAATAATGAACTTATCAGAAATTTGCAAAATCTGAACTTTTGTGTGTGTGTGTGTGCGCCTATTCTGATCAACTATCGTTTGACTTAACAACTTATAACTGGGACCTGTGTGGTTAAACTTTTTTCATAGAAATCTCCAAGCAAATCACCGGATAGATGTATTTGACAATAGTGTTTTTTAACAAGAAAAGAAAGCAAATTAGTGTGAAAATTTATCAAACACACAAAAGAAGGAAGAACTACAAATTTTGCCGAAATACAAGAAAGAGTTTTGAGAATCAGGAAAGAGTAGTGCCAATAAACAATTCTGCAATTTTGTGCTCTTAATTTCTACTTTCTACTTATGTTTAACGTAATTGCAGGGATTTCCAAGCAGCGTAACTCCAGATTACATCCCTTTTCAAATATGGGACTTATTGCAGGTTTAGATTTGAGAAACCAAATTTTATAAATTTGCAATGTCACTTTATAATATCATTCCACTGAAACCCAATTGGGTCATTTGTTTTTACAGGGCCTTTCGACTTATGTACGGACAATGCTTTCTACTCAAGTAAGGTCTATTATATGTCTCGACATTGTCAATCATCTTTACACTTTTGATTTCTCATATATGAAATATTCAATACTCGTGTTGTTGTTTAGGCTCTCTTGAGTGCCATTGGGGTTGGTGAGAAATCAGCTACGGTTATTGGGGCTACATTTCAGGTTAAACTTACATGTACCAGGAACTGATTCTTTATGCTGCTATATTGATTTTGTTTTCATGTGGTTGCATTGACAAAATCGTGTGGATTTCGCAACTTTCACAGTGGTTTCTGAGAGATTTAACAGGAATGCTTGGAGGTGTTTTGTTCACTTTTTACCAGGTCTGCTGTTTTGCACTTCTATAGTTGCTATTAAAGTAACTCAGCACCTCTGCACTTCAATAGTAACGTGCACAGTGCACCATCTCATCCATGTTCTGCACAATCTGCATGCAAGTCTTAGAATTACTGGGCATCATCCTATCTCTCCCTTTTATGACATTTGCTGGATCACCTAATTTATTTCCTATGATGACAATTTTCTGCACTTTTTTAAAGTAGTAAAGGTGATCCGGCAATTCCTATCTCTCCCCTTTTTTTAAATTGTTGTGTTAGCACAAGTAGAAGTCTGAAAAACCCATATTCATCTGAAAGTAGAATGCCTGCATATAAATTTTCTAGCCCACCTTTGTTTATGAGATGCACCTTCTGGATGACACGATGGGTTGTTGTGGGTGAAGTATATGGTTTATTGTTTTGTTTGGCCTTGATGTGGAGGAATTCAGTTTTCACTTCATGAGTTTGGCTGGTAACAGTTATTGGCTCTAACCTGCCAAACCATTTACAAGACTAACCCTTGTGATCTTTTCTTTTGTAGGGGTCAAACCTGGATAGCAATGCGAAAATGTGGCGCTTGGTTGCAGATCTCATGAATGATCTCGGTAGTAATTTAATCATTATTGTTCGACTGGAACCTTTTGACCCTTCCATTGAGACACTGATCTCTCTCTCTCTCTCTCTCTCACACACACACTCAGAGGAATGGAACCAAAAGAAAGGGAATGGGACAAT